GCTAAAACTATTAGCTATGCTAGTCTTGTCTCATTGCTATCATAATAAAGTGAGCAATATTTTTAAAAGGACTAATATACAAGAGAAAAAAATTTTTTGGTCTGCTGAGTTGGTCGGGCACAGGCCCACCCAGGCCCACCCTTAGATACGCCCCTGAGTGTACTGTTGACTGAATGAGGTTTTCAAAATTCAAATGTGGCAAAGCCTGAGCCTAGGCATATAGTTTGCTCCATAATTTCTCTTTTAAATGTTTATTATGATGTATTCAGGTGGAAGGGAGCGTCGAGCGGGGATGAGATCTCGAGATGTAGACGGCAATGCCACACCCACGAAGACACCAATAATGATGCTATCATTGATAAATGATCCTATTACTGAATTGTATGATCTTGAAACTGGCCCTCAACTTCTCGTAGAGACTAAAAATGAATAACGAATACAGTTGCGTGTGTACTTCAAGTGGTATGATAATAGCACTACTTATTAATGATCACTGCGTAGTCAAGTTAGATTGCATGTCACACATGATCAGTACTTACACATTCATGCAAGGGTAATTAAAACAACAGCAGCAGTCATTTGATGTCGTTAATTTCACGTACAAATATTTCTGTTCATCTGTTTCAGGTCTCCTGATGGTAGTGGTACTTGTATATTGACTTACAATAATGACAATATACTGAGATTGTATAATCTTCCAAATGAGCTCTACAGCTCTTCATTCCCTGATCACATTCAACTAGAAACGGTGAATTTAGACACACAAAAACATGCATACGTACATGTATTTCTAACATATTGCTTTGTTGTCTTTGGTAGGATCCTGTTGGTTATGCTAGAGAAGGCGAAATTATATACGATTATGCCTGGTTCCCTAGAATGTCATCCTATGATTATGCCATGCCATTTGCTGGTCAGTGTGTGATCATTATACATGTGTAAATTCAAATATAATTATGTGTAGATGATATAAGAAATGAAATAATGTTAATTGATACAGTTGCATGTCATAAAAATTTTAAAATTGCATATATTAAATTAATGTTCACTTCTTGCTACTGAGTGCAAATTTTCCATTATGTCACAGCAACAAGCACATACACAAAGGATGAATGTGATGAAAATGA